AATCCATCCACTTATTTTTTTGTATCCCATGCATACAGAGCCTCCACGACTGCAACCTGCTACCTGGAGGGCCACCCCTCTCCCATCCTCCCCGGAGAGGTCACCCCTCCCCTCTCCGACCTGGAGGGGTCACTGCTGCCCCCGCCATTGCACTCTCCATTCATAGCCAGAGATCAATCTAGTGTCCTTGCTAAAACCGTTTCCTCCCTGCAAAAAATTTACGTTTATAGCTTGTAAATCATTCATGATCACAAGAAATGCAATTTTTACCTCAACTTTCAGCCACAAATTTACTGTTCCTCACCGTGAAGTCTCTTCTAACTGCACAATCCACGTTCATCCCTTGCTCAGATGTCTTCTCTCTTCACCTTGCCTAGTTGAACGTGCCACCTTCCCATATCTTTCACGCCTTAGCTTGCCTCCTCTGAGAAGCCTTTTGGAGATAGCGGAATGTGCCCCCATGGTGCAATTCTATGTGGCTCTTACTCTTTTCAAACTCCTCTGTCTCCTTCACTGGAGATGTTTTGCTAAAGGCAGGGAAGCATACTCAATAATATATTTAAATGGCTAACATATATATGTCTGGATACATAAATTTGTCAAGTCAATTAAAAACATGTTGCATCCTTTAGCCATTTTTGTGAATAATATTGCACCAACTTCTTTTCTGACTATCTGCAGAAATCATAATTTTTAGTGTATGATTGTGGGCAAGTTAAACTTCTGTATTTAAATTTCTTACCTGTAAAATGAAGATACTAGTACCTACCTCATACTGTTGCTTTGAATATGAAGAGTTAATAGCAGATCAGTCTTTTAGAATTTATACCTAGAGGCATCTCTCAAAATTGTGAGCTGTTATTGTTACTCTTTTCTTCTTGTCTTTACTGATATCCTGTATGATGAGACTCTTCATGTTTGACACCTTTCACGAGCAAATTAAGAATTCAGGAGATAGGCTTCCCTGGTGGCCTTCGGATGAAGTTTCATCGTTCACAGCTACAGCCTGAGTTTCATTCCTGGCCAGACAGATGAACACACACATGTCACAGCACACCTCCCCATCTCACCCACTGCTCCCCTCAGCAGTGTCTTTCAGTAGATCTGTCTGTTCTGCTCCACACTCTATTTCTGGTAAAGCCTCTCACCATCCCCCACCTCTGGCTTAGACCCCAGTTCTAAATAAATGAATCTTAAAGAAGAAAAATTGAGGAGATCTAAAAGTCAGAGGCCAGAACAAAGAAAAGTTCTAAGTCTGCAATTCTCCATGTGTCCCCACAGAGAGGCAAGCTAGGGCCTGACATTCTGCTGGCCACTTATGGGTGAAGGTTTCAGGCATGGAGCCATGCTTTCTTGAAACTCCTTATATAGTGCAGTATGAGAATAACTTTTTCAAAAAAGAATAAGCAGTCTGCTTGGCACAAGAAGTCTAGATTTGAGTATGAACTGTTACCAACTGAGAACATCAGCTTCCTAGCAGCTAAATGAGAAATAGTAATGGGATTCTGGACAGAACAAGTCACTAGTCTTACATGAAGCTAACTTTGGGTCTAGTTGCTGTTTTTCAAAGAACGATCCCATTTCACCTGGCTCATTGTCAGGGCAAACCAGTGAGACACTAGATCATTATGGACCATATGCTACTTGATGCACCATTTTTTGGTTAATGTTTTCATTAGAAGAAATAATGTCAAACTGTGCTTCAAATCTATCTGGGGTAACTTAAAACCCAAGTTCTCAAGAATCTATCCCTCTCTATCAATACAAGTGCAAATATTTTAATAGGTCAGTAACACTTTTTTAATATATCAGGGACCACAATAAATGATGAGAATGAAAAAAATCTAAAAATAGTATTCCTGCTTTCAAGTATGTATAGCCTTAGTGGAAAAGCACCTGAAAAAAATTACAATCCAGTATAAGAAATGAAACCATGTAAGACTCAGAAAATTCACAAATAACTCTGTTCAGTCAGAGATTGCATTTTCCAAACTATAAAGTTTGTTTTTTATTTACTCAAAATGCTAAACTTAGGATCCATATGAAAACACTGGAGTTCAATTAGCAGGTTCTATGATGAAAAAAAAATCCTAAAATTATATATATTGATGTAAAATCAAAGCAGAAAATGTTATGAGAACTGAAAAGGATTTGTGAGGACTACCCCGATATTTAGAACCTAAAAGGAATTAAGTTCAATTTCCAGATCTGCCACCTGATAACTGTGAATTTATTAGTTTCCTAATAAATTCTGGGAGTCTAAATTTTCTCTTTAAGAATGGGTATAGTAGGGCTTTCCCTGGTGGCACAATGGGTTAAAGCACTGCATTATGAAGCTCTCCAAAGCCAGTGCAGCATGAGTTCAATCCAGGCCAGGGAGCCGACCCACATGGCGTGGCAGACCTCTCCTGACCTGCTAGTTGCTCCCCTCAGCAGTGTACTTTGTTGATCTGCCTGTTCTGCTCCCCACTCTGGTGAATCCTCTCACCCACCACACCTCTGGCCTCTACCCCAGTTCTGTAAGCATAAATAAATAAATCTTTAAAAAAATAATAATGGGTATAATAACAACAGCTACCACCTTAAGTTAGTCTAAGCAGTAAGTAAAGAAAAATATGCAAAGCACCTTATATATGATAGATACTCAATAAAGACAGCTAAGTTTTCCCACATAACAGCTATAACTTTGCTTGTCAGCTGTTCTACTCTAGGCACTTATAATTGGGTAGCTGTGGTAAATTGATTAAAGAGCTATTTTAGGGTGGAAATTTTTTTATTATTCTATAATGAAATTCTATACTATTTTTCTTAGCTACTTTTCAAAACTATCTACAGCAGTTTAATGCATTGTAAGCACTTTTACATACATCCTGTTTTACCAAAATGTGCCTTAAAATGTCTGAAAAACCCAAACCAAGTTGGTATAAAAAGTAATCAGAAAATAAGAAAGTGTCCTGTTCAATAATGGAATATTAAATGAATAAAAAAATGCCAGTACACTGACAAGTTAAGGTGTTCTGGTCACAAAGACATTGATGAGAATATGAGGAATGCCTTAGTAGCTAAAAAAAAGCTAAGACTTAGTAAGAGTTTCTGGAAACAGGGATTGTTCTTTTATATACACTGCCTCGCATGAATTATGGAACTTTGAGAATTATGTCAAATAGTGTCAACTACAAGACATTAAAATGAGATGCACTTTGTATAAAAGAAATTACAGAAAGCATATAAATGATGCTGCAGTGGAGTTCTGTTTACAATGTTAATACTTGATTTTTATATTCCTTTTGTGACAGAGCAGAAGTGATATTGAATGTGCTGATCTTTAAATACTAATTTGTCCCTCAGTTTTTCTATCTCAAAACAAGAATAATAACCTTTTTCTTTTATCTTTCTACCAGTCTAATAAGAATAAAGAAAGTAAATACTTTTGAACACCTCATTCAGAAGTAAACTATATAAATTCAGGGTTATTTTGACTGCGTATTAGAAAACTCCCAGATGGTTCATAGTACCAGCAGATAAATATCCTGCCTGATCTATGATTTCCTAAGTAGCAAAGAATATTGTCATCTTGTTGTTACCCTAAACTTTGGCTTCTTTTTTTGTTTAAAGACTTATTTATTTATATAGAACTGGGGTACAAGCCAGAGGTGAAGGAATGGTGAGAGGCTTCACCAGAGACAGAGTGGGGAGCAGAACAGGCAGATTGATGAAGTACACTGCTGAGGGGAGCAGTGGCAGGTCAGGAGAGGTCAGCCACACCATGTGGTCACCTCCAGGGCTGGGGATCCAACTTGCGCTGAAGCAACTGTGGCTCACTTGCAGTGCTACATCCTAACCCGTTGTGCCACGAAGGAAGGCCCAGACTTTGGCTTCTTACAGAGATTACTTTCCCCGTAGAGTACTATCTACATGTGGCTATTTAGATTTAAACTTTCATTTATTAAAATTAGCTAAAACTAGGCCCTCCCTGGTGGTGCAGCCGGTTAAAGCACTGCACTGAGAAGCTAAAGCCACTTCCGCATGAGTTCAATCCCCGCCTGCCCCGGAGGTGACCGCATGGCGCGGCAGACCTCTCCTGACCTGCCCGCTGCTCCCCTCAGCAGTGTACTTCGTAGATCTGCCTGTTCTGCTCCCCACTCTGTCTCTGGTGAAGCCTCTCGCTGCCCCTGAGCCTCTGGCCTGTACCCCAGTTCTGTATGTACAAATAAATAAATCTTTTTAAAAAAATTAGCTAAAACTAAAAATTCAGTTCCTCAGTCCTACTAGTCATATTTCAAGTACGCTATAGTTACATGTGACCAGTTCCTAGAGTGCTGGACAGAGAAAACATTTCTTTCATCGAGCGCTCTGTTGAAGAGAGGCTGATTCTCAGGCTGAATATTCTTGTTACTCTGTGGGCTTCAGTTAGCCATAGACAACATTTCAATCATTAAATGACCTTAAAATTATGAAAGTACATCAGTAGCAGACTAAGGGAAACCCACACATAGGTGGAGGGGAAATAAATAGGCAATAAGATAGAAAGAAGGACTGATAGCTAGAAAAGGATACACTGACATTACTATAAAAGGTTAAAATATGATTCAGGAAGCCAGTGGCCTGGCCAAGGTACAAGATTACTTAAAGCACTGGTCATTTATAGTTTGCACTAAATGTATCAACCTTTTGCTGACTTTCTCATGTTCTAATTAGGTTTTAAGCAGTTCTAGCTAACCCACAATTTCACCACTGGGATGAAACTTAGCCTCCCTCTGTAGACTCATGGTTAAAAATGTGTTTTCCTCACACAGGGGTCAGTAAATGCCATGGAGATACTTGGAATTCTTTGCTCATAACTGTTGCATTTGTCTTTGTTTAGAACACTGTACTACAAGTAGTTTTCATACTTACCAATTTTTTTACTTCTGCTTCCTGTATAAAAAGGAATGATAACTTAGGCTGTGTGTTATTTGTCCAAAAAAGCAAGTAACTAATCTGTGTGTATTTGCATTTAGGTCATCCTGTCTATTGAAGAAGGGTACAGGCTCCCGGCTCCCATGGGCTGTCCAGCATCACTGCACCAGCTGATGCTCCATTGCTGGCAGAAGGAGAGAAATCACAGACCAAAATTTACTGACATTGTCAGCTTCCTTGACAAACTGATCCGCAATCCCAGTGCCCTTCACACCCTGGTGGAGGACATCCTTGTGTAAGATGCATAATGCTGAGTTTTTTCTCGACAATCATAATTCCTTTTAGGCTATAGACAAGACTAACAGCTAGAGAGAGGAGAAAGTTTGCTTTAAAAACCATCTAATTTTCAACCATTTTAGAATGCTGCATATAAATTTATTTCATCTATTAGCCCAAAAAAAATTAACATTTTTTAAATGGATATTTTTCATAAGAAAAGAGGTTTCCCCTTTTTCCATATCTACTCTTTCTAAATTGCTTTCTTTTCATTTTTTCCTGTGTGGCTCTTTGGTATTTATGTATATTTCATTTACTGAAACCCCCTTCCCTTTACATGGGGAATGTGTGTGTGTGTAGAACCCCTTTAATTTTCTTATCCATTCTCTGATCTGTCCCTCTAGTTGAAGTGATCAGAAAGATGGGCAATTTGTGAGTCAGCCAGAGCAATCATGCTTCCTACTGATATGATCTCACCCAACTGTTGTTACTTTCTCTTCCTAAACCTGAAAAAGACAGATGACAAGTCAGGAAAATGAAGGCACTCCACACCATTTTCTAAAAGTCAGTAGAGTTAAGAAGATATACTCACCTCTTTCTGAAAAGTAATTATACGAAGGCTTCAGGAAACTAGAAGAAAAAAACACTATCATCTATGTCTGAAAATATTACATTTAAAATAGTATTAAGTTGAAGATATATTTATTTAGAGCAAATTGGACCTAGAAATAACCAAGGTATTTCCATAGCTCACTATCCTGACTCAGAGGATAGCCATCAAAATATATAGATGTTCAACTTTAGGTTACAGTTCAAGTCAATGCAGGTTTTTAGTGAAAATAAGGCTGAAGGCACTTCAAGGACTACTGGAAACAGGACTCAGTTCATAGCAGAGCATATAAGAGTTCACCTCTAAATCACTAATTGGCAGCCTCAGTAAAGTGAAGCCAAGCATGAAATAGCTAGAGATTAAACTATTACTCTAGCCCGTCTCCCCTAGAGCGGTCCAACACAGGAAGCAGTAAAATGAGGCGATGAGAAAGAGGAGACTCTTTGGATTTTTATCGTGAAAGCAGTGAGCAGTCATTGAAAGATTTTAAGCAGGAGAATAGCAAGATCACATTTGCATTTCTGAAAGTGAAAAAGAAGAAACAGAGACAGTTAAATATGTGCAGCAATCTGAGCTAGAAAAGATTAGGGCCTGATTTATAAAGTAGGAATAAGCTTAGGATGGAGATAAAATAATGAATTTATTATAAGGCAAGGAAAGCAACCATATCTTGATGGAGAGAGAATAGAATCAAGGATGTTTGTCAAGTTCCTTTCTCAGACAAATCATGGAAGGGAAGAGGGACAAATAATCAGAATGGAAATGAGACAATTTCAGTCAAGCTGCTTTAAAGATACCTGGGGGGCATCTAAGCAGAGATGGCAGCTCAGTTTATAGGCTAAACCTCGGGTGGACAGAGCTGGGCTAGAGATGTAGATTTGGAGATCAGCAGCATATGGATTGTATGTGTCATATACAGTCATTAAGATAATCCATGGAAAATGTGCAATAAACAAAAGGAAGGAATACATTCCCCTGGGACAGCAAGATTTAAGATTAAACTAAAGAAGAGCACTCAAAGGTGACTCAAGAAGAGCCAGACAAGTAATGAGAGAGGAGGAAGAAGCAGTGGCATAGAAGGCAAAAATGGAGAGAGTTTCAAGGAATACAATGGCCAGGTCCCCCAAAGCTTCAAGAAGATAGTAAGTGAAATGTGCATTAGACCTGGTTACAAGGCATCAGGTGCTTTGGGCAGCCTTTGCCAAGGCATTTTCAATAAGACTGTAGAAGACAGAGCACAGTGGAGGAAGACAGAGGTCAGAGAGAAGCACAACACAAAGGACTAATTTGTTTTTTTCAAGAACCCTATCTCTGAAGGAAAAGGGAAGTAGTTAGAGAAAAGGTTTCCAGGATTTTGTTTTTATATGTTTTATTGGAGAGACGAGACGGGCATGCTTTGATGGTAAAGAGAGAGAGCTCGTAGAAAGGTTCATGGAGTGAGTCTGCATGATGGGGAGGAGACTGGCATCTCTAAATGAAACCACTTAACCTTGCCTCTTGTGGTGCAGGATTAATGGACTCCACAGCCAGTGTCCATCAACAGAGCTCTCTAACTGCTCGATGCCTGTGGAAGCAGGCAGGTAAGAGCCTTCTTCATGAGGCAAAGCATATAAAACAATATTTATTACCTGGTTTATTAAGTTTATTAATATTCTATGTATTTGGAAATCATCAGTAGAAACTGAGGTGGGAAAAATGCCCAAAAGTCTACAGGATCCAGAGGTCAAGATGAGGGGCCATATATGGGTGCCAAAGGAGGGTGGATGAGTGGGCTGTGCAGAAATGCCAGGCCCTCAAGTGGCAAGTTCTGCAGTGACACCACCACATGCAAGGCGAGAAGCCGGGTGCTTTATATAAAGTTGACAGTTTGATTCAATTCTAAAGTCTAATCTCTGGGAGACCAGATGGAAGTTTTTGTGACTGATTTGCTATCCTTGTTTCTGACAAAGACGTATGTACTGCTGCTTTTGTCCTTAATGTACTTCTGTTTGAGAGACCAGAGCGTTAAGGGTGGCTTGTCTGGACTTTGATCAGCATTATTTTCACTATAACCTGAGTAGCCGCCCCCCCCCACCCCCAGCACCTTACCCACCCTCTCACCCCCATTTCCACCTACCCACTCATTCCTGATTCTACACAACTGAGGCTAGTTAGGAGGAAGAGATGTGGGAGATGAGAGGTGACCAATATTAGCTAAAGAAAAGCCTGCTTTGCTTTATGCTAATGAAACTAGCCACTGCCCCTCCATCTCCAAGTCCCAAAACCCAGTTGTCTATACAGAACAACATTGGATTAAGGAACTGTGACAGAGTGTAGATTTGCAATATTTCCTCCCGTTGAATTTCTCAAGCAGGTAAAGGGTCTAAGTGTATTATCTACAGCAACTCTTTAAATTCTCCAGCCCTTCTCTTTTCCTGCTTTCCCCGACTTCCAGGGTTCTCTTTCACTTCTACCTGACATGACTCTCAGCCCTGGGGGGTCCCCATGGTTTTTATACAGTGCTAATTGTTAATTGCTCTTTGCTGAAGAATTCACGGAGTAGTTTTTTACCTTTTCCCTTGACAGAGTAGCAAGAGGGGAACAAATGAAGGAGATGTGTGGTGCCCACAGCTTAGTGATTTTATACTAGCATATTGGGGGTCTCTTATACCTTTACTTGTAATCTTCCATTTCAAAACAGACCATCAATAGAAAAAAAATAGAGAAAACTTGCATTTTTTGGAGCAGCAGTTGATATCTTGTTCCTGACACACTCCCATGGGTGTATTCAGACCACTGTGCAGTTCCAAACCCCCATACTTTCTCTGCTGAAGAAAGTATTTGGCTATTTAAGTGAATGTGATGATATAGCTGCAATCTTATATCCCATTATTTGTAAAAAATAATTTGCAAGAGTATTTTATTAATGTTAGGAATCACTCAGCAACTAGAACCACCACTTTCCTTAGTACATATAAACCCATTGTTGGATTTTCAATCACTTGGCTTCCAGTAGTATGGAATCATGAAGGTAAGGAAAAACTCATACTAGTATCATAATTAAGAACCTCTTCTGTAGAAAACAGCAAGTATATGTATAAGACCACATGGTCCTACCTCCATGCAGTTAATAATGCTACATAGGTCTTCTGTGAGAAATACTTATTAACATTTTAATGTAGCTGATTTATTTCAAAAAGATTTTACTCAATGTTTCCTAAACAATACACGATCAATACACTCTAAGTTGTCTATCTAATACTTCATACCAAGTATTAGACAACTTGTCTTTTTATAATTGTTGTTACTAGCACATGAATGATTTTTATGACAGAGAAATAACTGGCTGTTGTAACTGAGTGAAAAGCTTTGTGGAAGACAGAATATAAAATAGTAATCAAGGAGTATGAATTTCTACTTGTAGGTAAATAAAAATTCAATTTGCATGACCTGTGACACAATGATCATACTGTTAATACCAAAACAAATACTAATGCATACATACATAGATATTTATACCTGTATACAAATAGATATACTAATATATATAATGTATATAATTGTGGATAATATATATTATCCACAATAACCAGTACTGCCCTTTGAGAGCCAACTATGTGCCAGTCATTACACGAAACACTAGTGTCTGTTTTGTCATTTAATCCCCAATACTAGTGTTCTTATTCCTCAGTTAGAAAATGGAGACTCAGAAAGACTAACTTTTCCAGCAGTACACATCAAGTCACTAAGAGATCAGGAATTTGGCCCTCCCTGGTGGCACAACGGGTTAAGACACAGCCCCTTCAGTGCAAGTTCTCTCCCTGCCCTGGATGATCCACATGGCCTGGCAGAACTCTCCTAACCCACCCACTGCTCCCCTCAGCAGTGTACTTCATCAGTCTGCCTGTTCTGCCTTCCACTCTGCCTCTGGTGAAACCTCTCACCAGCCATGCACTTTTGGCCTGTACCCCAGTTCTGTATGCATAAATAAATAAATCTTTAAAAAAAAAGAGAAAGAGAGAGATCAGGAGTTTGAATAAGTTCCACCAACTCCAAAACCCTTGTTCTTTGCTTTACAGTTATAGTATCACACAATATGGCAAGATTTTCCCCATTAAAGCACTGTTTTCAAAATATGACTAAAGAAAACAAGAATACATTCTATATTTCCAAATAGGTTTTCACTAGGGTAGTCAGACTTCATAGATGGAGTTTATTAAAATTCCAAAATGAATTTGTCATGGGGGCAGCCTGCTAGTTTATATTCCACTAGACAAATGCAGGGAATATACGCTTTCACTCAAGGGAGTCCATACCAAACAGTTTATGTTTGCCCCCAATATCTTCCTATAATGCTCATTTATTACTTGAAAAACATTACTTGAGTAAAGAAAGTAATAACTATAACTAGAGAAATGAGAATTATAGCAGCCACATGGTCCCAGAATTATATCTTCAAGTCATTCTTGTGGATGGAATTTTTTCATTGTTGGTAAATAAATGTTTTGTTTATTGTTCTTGTCATGGAAGATATTAGTAATCATTACAACACTTTCCCAGTGAGCCCAGATGCTGCCCTAGGATCCCTTTCAAGACCACATTTGACAAGCATAGCCAAATTGCAGTTAGCATATGATATGAAATCTATTTCTGTCCCTGGATTGCTTCCATGAGATGCAGCAGTCTACTTCTCTGGCAATAGGAACCATGTGCTATGTACTCAAAACTATGAGAGATTTTTTTTTTTTTTAAGTATATTCATCCACACCCCGTGCAGGTTAAAGCACAGCTCTAAGAAGTTTAAGCCATTTCCGCATGAGTTCAATCCCTGCTCGTCCCTGAGGCGACCCACATGGCGCGGCAGACCTCTCCTGACCCACCCGCTGCTCCCCTCAGCAGTGTACTTCATCAGTCGGCCTGTTTTGCCCCTTATTCTGTCTCTGGTGAATCCTCTCATGCCCTTGTACCTCGGGCTGTACCCCAGTTCTGTACAAATCAATCTTTAAAAAAAATGTATATTCATCCTATTCTATATCAATCTATCCTAATGTTCAAATATATGTAATTTTATAATTTTCTTTTAATTTCATTCTTTCATACATCTTAACAGTGATGTCTTATTTTAATAAATAATCATCAACTTTATTTTAAACTGAAGATTTACTAAAAACAAAAAGCTGATGAAAAATAATTCACAATTCAAATTTAACACTGTAGAGTCAAATTATTTAAATGAGGAGATATCGCCCACAAATATAAATTTGTTACCAGATATATGGCATGTTTTTATGCATTTGAAATTTTATAGTCATTTGAGTAAAATTACATTTTTAAATATTTTTAAAATATCACATTCTCTCTATTTTAACTTTTGTTCAAGTTGATTATTAGGTCATAAATACAGAGAGGACATGCTTTATTTCTATCAGATTAAATGAATTCTTCCTTCAAAGACTAGGTACATATTGTGTTTATTAGATTAGTTTAGAGATTAATTAAATATTCTGAATGTCATCCCTGAGTCATGAGATAAGAAATTCATGTGAAACCAGTGATACAGAATAAAGAATCTGCTCTGTGGTTCTAGGTCTATCCTTTGTGCCTGAATGGTTAAGTAGTGCTACTTCACTAGATGACTACCTCTTCCTCCATGATGAAACTTCTAAAAAGGTTTCATTCCATAAAGACAGAGAGGAGACATTTTTACAATACAAGGAATAAGTTAAATAAGTACTACATTCATTAATAGAATGACCTTTGTGTCAACAGGTACTTAACTCTTCTGTTAAATGAAATAAATATTTCATAATGTGTCAATCACTATGCCATGGACCAAATGTCAGTAGCGATCATTCAAGTCTAAATCATTATTTATCTAATGGATTCCTGTAATATTTTCTGCATTGTGCAGAGGCCTATAGTAAACAGAAAGAAATATGAGATCTGATTCCTACCATCAGGAAGTTTTAACTTACTCAAATGAAATTCTCCCATGTTATAGAATTTTCCCAAGGAAGTAATTCAGTTGATGTAAAAGATATGTGCCTTACCACTGTATGATCATTTATAATAAAAGAAGTTTTTCACAGCTAAGAAAATTTCATGGAATTAACGAATGATTAAGATCAACATATGAAATATGTTTATCTCTTTTGAATAGCAGTTATGAAAACTACTGAAACAATGAATAGACAGTATTTTATGTATTTTATGAAATATTTGTATTCTATGAAACATGGCCCTGGAGTGGGAACATGCATGGCAGTTAATTTAACTCTTAGCCTCATGTTTACAGTAACCTTCAAAGGGCTGGCCCTTTTCCCGCTCAGCACCTCATTGTCTAAATCCTTAGCTTTGAGTCTGATCTTAAATTGTTCATTGTGGTCCAAAAACTGAACTATTCCTTCATGTTTCAATAAAATCCAAGAATTTCTGTAGTTCTCTTTGTTTTGTATAAAAGCACTTTATTAAAAATGATTAAATTACTATTCATTGCAAAAAAAATAGAAAATATTCACATGTGAAATCAAGGCAAGATAAATTAAATGGACCCTGTCTCTAAAGTTTTGCTTACCATTTATTAAAATAAGAGATAGAAAACAAGTCGTGCTGCCCCCCCCCCC